CACAAACACATGGAGGCTAAATAGCATGCTGCTAAACAACAAGTGGATAAATGAAGAAATCAGAGATGCATTAAAAAATACATGTAGACAGATGAAAATGGAAACATAACAGCTCAAAATCTGTGGGACCCACCAAATGCAGTTCTAAGAGGAAAGTTTTTATAGTAATAAAGCCCTAGATCAAGAAATAAGGAAAATCTCAAATAAGTGATATAACCTTACTCCTAAAGGGACTAAAAAAAACAAAAGCTCAAAGTTAGTAGAAGGAAAGAAATAATAAGGATCAAAACAGAAATAAATGAAATAGAGGCAAAAAAGAAAAGACCCATGAAACCAAGAGCTGGTTCTTTGGAAAGATAAATAAAATTGATAAAACTTTAACCAGACTTGTCAAGAAAAAAGGACTCAAAATTAGAAATGGAAGAGGAGAAATAACAACTGATACCATATAAAGATATTGATATCATGAAATATAAAGGATCCTAAGAAACTACTATGAAAAATTTTATGCCAGCGAATTGGATAACATAGGAAAATGGGTGAATTCCTAGAAACATATAACCTTCCAAAACTGAATGAGAAAGAAATAGAAAATTTGAAATTGATTACTAATAAATTGAATCAATAATAAAAAAAAATACCAACAAACAAAAGTCCAGGACCAGATTCACAGGTGAGTTCTACCAGACATTCAAAGAAAAATTAATACTGATTCTCCCTAAACTATTTCAAGAAATAGAAGAAGGAAACTTCCAAATTACCCTTATAAAGCCAATATTACCCTAATGCCAAGACTAGACAAAGACACTACAAAAAAAGAAAACAATAGGCCAGTAATCCCTGATGACCATAGATGCAAAAATCCTCAATAAAATAATAACAAAACAAGTTAAGTAATATATTAAAAGGATAATTTATGACGATGATGTGGGATTTATTCCAGGGCTACAGGGAGGGTTCAGTATCTGCAAATCATTCAATATGATTCATCATATGAACAAGAGGAAGAGTAAAAAACCACATGATCATCTCAATAGATGGAGAAAATGCATTTGACAACATTCAGCATTCATTCATGATAAAAACTCTCCACAAAGAGAGGTTTAGAGGAAACATAGTTCAACTTAATAAAGACTATGACAGACCCCCCGCTAACATGATCTCAGTTTCAAAAACTGAAAGCTTTTCCTGTAAGATCAGGAATAAGACAAGGATGTCTGCTTTTACTACTTTCATTCAACGTATACTGGAAGTCCTAATTGCAGCAATCGACAAGAAAAAGAAATAAAAGGCATCCAGGTTGGTAAAGAAGAATTAAAACTCACTATTTGCAGATGACATAGTACTGTATATAGAAGCCCCCAAAAAACTAGAACTGATAAATAACTCAGTGAAGTTGCACTATACAAAATTAATTTACAGGAATCTGTTGCTTTTCTATACACTAATAACAAACTAGCAGAAAGAGATATTAAGAAAATAATTCTATTTTAAATTGCACCAAAAAAAAAGATACCTAGGAATAAATTTACCAAAGAAGTAAAAGACCTATATTCTGAAAACTGTAAGACACTGATAAAATAAATTAAAGATTACTCAAACAAATGGAGAGATATAGCATACTCATGGATCAGAAGAATTAATGTTAAAATGTCCGTAGTACCCAAAACAATGTCCATAGTACCTGAAACAGAGTCAGTGCCGTTCTTATCAAAATACCAACAATATTTTTCACAGAACTAGAACAAATACTCATAAAACTTCCACCTTATATAATTACAATCTTTTTCTTTGTTGTGTACTGCTGATATTTTTAATGATTTTTTTTTTGAGATTCTTTAAGTACTAAGTAATACACTAGTGGGGCAGGTATATAACGGTGATGAAAACATACTTACTCTCTGCCCTCAGGGAAATTACAGTGTAATGGATGAGGCTAGACAGACAGTGAATACATCAATAAACTATATAATTACAAAAAAATCCCAAAATTTGTATAGAACTACAAAAGACCTCAATTAGCACCCCCCCAAAAAAAAAATCTTGAGAAAGAACATAGCTAGAAATATCAAAATGCCAGATTTCAAGATATACTACAAAGCTGTAGTAATCAAAACAATATGGTAGTGGTGAGCGGGTGCACACACATGATACATAGATCAGTGGAATAGAGTAGAAAGAAATCCAAGCTTATATGGTTGATTAATCTGTGATGAAGGAGCCAAGAATACACAATGGGGGAAAAAATCTCTTTTAATAAATGGTATTCAGAAAACTGGATAGCTACATGCAAAAGAATGAAACTAGATCACTCTTACTCAAACACAAAAATAAACTCAAAAGGGATTAAAGACCTAAATGTGAGGCCTGAAACCATGAAAGTCCTAAAAGAAAGCATAGACAGTAAGCTGTTGGATTTTTTGGCTTTAACATCATATTTATGGATATGTTGCCTCAGGCAAGGGAAGGAAAAGCAAAAATAAAATAATTGTGACTATACCAAAAAGCTTTTGCACAGCAAGGGAAACCATCAAGAAAATGAGAAGGCAACCTACTGAACGGGAGAAGATACTTGCAAATGATACTTCTGTTAACAGGTTAATATCCAAAATATACAAAGAACTTCTACAGCTCAACACAAAAATCCTCGAAATAATCTGATTAAACATGTGCAGAGGATCTAAATAGACATTTTTCCAAAGAAGTCATACAGCTGGCCAGTAGGCACCACAACTGGTAGTTGCTGGGAGGAAGGGGGAGGGAGAAGGGAGGGCAGTGAAGGGAAGAGTAAAATAGGTTAAAGGGATAAGGAAGTACAAAATTCCAGTTATAAATAAATGTCATGAGGATGAAAAGTACAGCACGAGGAATACAGTCAATAATATAATAATGATGTATGGTGACAGATAGTAATTACACTTAATCATGGTGAATATTGTATAATGTATAGAATTGTCAAATCACTGTTGTATACCTGAAAATTAACACATATGTCAACTATACTTCGGTAATAAAAATTTTTAATTCAGTTCGTCAGTCATGCTAGCCATGTTTCAAGTGCTCAATAATTGTATACAGATACAGGGTATTTTTATTGTTGTCTTAGCAATAATTTGGTCAGATGATTGGGATATAATCTCATATTTTAAAAATCCAAACATGTCCCTTAAAAATGTGTTTTTATTATGAAATAAAACATAGATATGGAAACCCACTTAAATCAAATACATGGTTTATTGAATTATTACAATGCTGATAACACCCAGGTAGGAAATAGATCTTTGTCAGTCATCTTTGAAACTCTTCCATGTGTCCTGTGTCTATCACAACCTTCTCTCTTATGTAATCATTACCCCAATTTTCATAGTAATCCCTTACATTTTTCTTTTTATTATTTACAGAGTTAATTAGCTTCCTTAGACATTATAGTTCGGTTTTAACCAAAATAAAAACATTGTTATTGCGATACAATTTCCATGCCATTAAATTAGCTCATTTAAAGTATATAATTTAGTGGTTTTAGTATAGTTACAGAATTTTACAACATCACTACAATCTAGGTTTAGAACATTTTCATCATACCTGTTGGCAGTCACTCCCCATCCCTATTTTTCCAATCACCCCAGCCTTGGCAATCATTAATCTACTTTCTGTGTATACATTTGCTTATTCTGATTTTTTATGCAAATACTATATGAAGTCTGTTGTGTCAGACTTCTTTCACTTAGGTATAGTGCCTTTGAGATTCATTCATGATGTAGTAAATATTTTAATTCTTTTCATTGCTGAATACTATTTCATTGTATGGATATGTCACATTTTGTTTATCCATTCATCAGACGAAGGGCATTGGGTCATTTCCACTTATTGGCTCTTATGATTAATGCTGGTATGACATTTATGTCCAAGTTTTTGTATGGATGTATGTTTTCATTTCCTGTGAGTACTTACTTAGTTGTGGGACTTGCTGGGTCAAATGGTACTTTGTGTTTTAACTTTTTGAGGAACTACCAAAATGTTTTTCTAATTGGCTGCACCATTTTTCATTCCCACTGGCAATATAGAGGATTCTAATTTCTCCACATCTGAATCAATACTTGTTATTTCTCTTTTTGATTATAGCCATCATATTGGCTATAAAGTGTTGTCTCACTGAATATTAAATTGATTAAAAATGTATTGTGGTTTTCACTTGCATTTCCCCAGTGGTTAATGATGTTGGTCATCTTTTCATGTGTATTAGACATTTGTAAATCTGCATAGAAATGTCTATTCAAACCTTTTGCTTATTATTTGATTTTTAATTAAATAATTGTTTAGTTTTTATTAATGAATTAGAAGAGTTCATTATTACTGGTAACAGTTTCTTTTTAGAAATATGATTTACAGTTATTTACTTCCATTATGTTTTTTCCCCCAATTATCTTGATAGTATATCATTTGCAGCACAAAATATTTTAATTTAGAGATGTCCTAGTTTATTTTTTCTTTTTGTCTCTTGTATTTCTGGTATATATAATAAACCATTGTCTAATCCAAAGTCACAAAGATTTACTACTCTGTTTTCTTCTAGAAGTTTTATTGTTTTAGCATTTACATTGATGTCTGTGATCCATTTTTAGTTAATTTTTGTGTGTGACGTAAGAAAGAAGTCTAGCTTCATGTTTTTGATTGTGGATATCCAGTTGCCCTTGTACCATTTGTTTAAAAAGACTATATTTTTTTTCCATTAAATTGTTTTGGATGATGCCCTATTAAATTAAAATTGACCATAGATGTAAGAATTTATTTCTGGACTCTCAGTTTCTTTCCATTGTTTTACATGTTTATCTGTATACCAGTACCTTACTGTATCAATTAAATTATAAGTATACAGTAAGTTTCCAAATTGGGATATGTGAATCTTCCAACTATCTTTTTTATTTTTTAGGATCGTTTGACTCTTTTGGGTACCTTGCATATCCATGTGAATTTAAAGATAAATTTTTCAATTTTTGCAGAAAAGGCAGCTTGGATTGTAATAAGAATTCTGCTGCATATGTAGACCAAGATGGAAAGTATTGACATCCTAACAATATTAAGTCTTAACAGTGCGTGAACAGGGTGTTTTTCCATTAAAGTTGTCTTTAATTTCTTCTAACAGTATTTTGTAGTTTCCACTGTGCAAGTCTTATGCTATTTTTGTTAAATAAATTCCTAAATATTTTTATCTTCTTGATGTGATTGTAAATGGAATTGTTTTTATAATTTCATTATTTCATTTTTGCGTTGGTCATTGCTGTTGTATAGAGAAAATAATTTTGTATATTATTCTTGTATCCTGCAACCTTGGTGAACATGGTTGGTTATTCTAAAAGCTTTTTTAAAAAAGAGATTCCTTAGGATTTTTCTGTATACAAAATTGTCATTTATGAATAGAGATGATTATAGTTACTCCTTTTCAATCTGGATGCTTTCTTTTGTTTTGTTTTCTCTTGCCTAATTGCATGGGCTAGAACTTGCAGTGAAATGTTAGGCAGAAGTAGTAAGAAATAGGACATAATTCTCTTGTTTCTAATTTTAGGAGGGACACATTCAGTCTTTCATTATTGAGTCTGATGCTAACTGTGAGGTTTTGAGATGTCTTTGTCTGTTTGAGGAAGTTCCTTTCTATTCCTAGTTTGTTGAAAGCTTTTTATGAGGGTGTTGGGTTTTGGCAAATGCTTTTTCTGTGTCTATTGAAATGTAGTTCTAAAAAATTTTGTTAATGTAGTATTGGTTAACTTAGTTAATATAATATGCATTAGGTTTTTTTTGTGTGCATGTGTGTATTGAACCAACTTGGCATTCCTAGTGTAAATCTCACTTGGTCATGGTTTTAATACTTTTTACATATTCCTGGATTTGCATTGCTAGTATTTTGTTGAGGATTTTTGCATCTGTACCCATAAAGAATGTTGGTCTGTAGTTTTCTTATGATGCCTTTGTCTAATTTTGGTATCAGAGTAATACTGGCTTATGGGAGTATTCTCTCCATTTATGTATATATGTGTGTGTATATACTTTTATATATGTGTAAATGTAACTAATGAAGCCCTTGGGTCTGCACTTTTATTTGTTGGAAGTGTTTTAATTACTAACTCAATCTCTTTGTTATAGGTTTATTCAGAGTTTCTATTTTTAATTCAGTCAGTTGTAGTAGTTTGTGTTTTTCTAAGAATTTGTTCTTTTCATCCAGGCACTCAATTGATTGATGTACAGTTGTTCATAGTATTACTTTATAATAACTTTTATTTCTGGAAGGTCAGTGGTAATGTTCTTTTGTTCATTCCTAATTCTGGTAATTTGTGTGTTCCTTCCTTTTTTTTCTTGATTACTCCAGCTAAAGACTTGTCAATTTTGCCAGTATTTTCAAAGAATCAGCTTCTGTTTTCATTGATTTTTTTTCTTGTTTTTCTATTCTGTATTTTATTTGTTTGCACTCTAATCTTTATTGATCCCTTCCTTCTGCTTGCTTTTCTATTTTCTCTTTTTTTTTCTTGGTTCTTAAGATGGAAGTTTAGGTTATTCATTTGAGAACTTTCCTCTTTTTTCATATAAGCATTTAGAGGGATCCCTGGGTGGCGCAGCGGTTTGGCGCCTGCCTTTGGCCCAGGGCGCGATTCTGGAGACCCGGGATCGAATCCCACGTCGGGCTCTCGGTGCATGGAGCCTGCTTCTCCCTCTGCCTGTGTCTCTGCCTCTCTCTCTCTCTCTCTCTCTCTCTCTCTGTGACTATCATAAAATAAAATTTTTTTTTTTAAAAAATAAGCATTTAGAGCTATGGATTTTACTCTAAGCATTGCTTTCTTTAGCTGTACCCCATGAGTTTTGGTATGTTGTTTTGGTTTTCATTCATGTCAGGGAATTTTCTGATTCCCTCTATAAGTTCTTCTTTGACTTATTGGTTATTTACGAGTGTATAGTTTTATTTCCACATATTTGTGAATTTCCAAAATTTCCTTCGATTACTGATTTCTAATTGCATTCTGTCTGGTCACAGAACACTGTGTGATTTTAATCACTTTAAATTATTGAGGCTTGTCCATGGCCTGAATTTGGTCTACCTTAGAGAATGTTTCATGTACACTTGAGAAGAATGTGTATGGTGTTGTTTTTGAGTGAAATGTTGTATAGATGCCTATTAGATCTCATTAGCCTATAATTTGTTCAAATCTTCTATCTCCTTGTGGATTTTCTCCTTGATTGTTCCATCTAATTCAGAAGGGGATATAATGTCTTCCATTATTGGTTTTGAATTGTTTACTCTTTGATTCTTCCATCATTGTTTTAAATTTTATTTTTTCTGATTCTTTATGGTTCCTCTTTGCATAGTTTGTCTTTTTCCTTCCTTCCTTTTACTTTCAGCCTATTCGTATCATTGAACCTAAAATGTTTCTCCTGTAGAGAGACACTGTTGTCCTTGAACAGGGAGTTTGTGGTGCTGACCCCCAGCACAATTGAAGATCCACATATAACTTTTGACTCCCCTAGAAATTACCTACTAATAGCCTACTGTTGACCAGAAGCCTTACCAATAACAACAGTCAATTGACACATATTTTGTGTACATTGTATGTTATTTGGTATGTTACATGTTCCAATAAAGTAAGCTAGAGAAAAGAAAATGTTACTAAGAAAAATCATAAGGAGGGGGGCGGTGCCTGGGTGTCTCAGTCAGTTAAGCATCTGCCTTCAGTTCAGGTCATGATTTCAGGGTCCTGGGATTGAGCCCCAAGGCAGGCTCCCTGCCCAGCAAGGAGTTTGCTCTCCTCCTCCCGATGCCCCTCCCCTGTGCTTATGTGTGCGCATGCTCACTCTCTTCTTTCTTAAATAAATAAAATCTTTAATAAAAAAAAGAAAATCATAAGGAAAAGAAGAGGAAATACATTTACCAGTACTGTATTTCTTGAAAAAAATCATTGGATTTTCAAAAATACAATCTGATAACTCTGCTTTTTGATTGGGCTGTTTAATCTGTTCACATTTAATATTACTGATATTGTTGGATTTACATCTGCTATTTTGCTTTTTGTTTTCTATAGATCTCATGCTTTTTTTGTTCTCTTGAATTCTTTTAAATTTAAGTGAATTCTTTTGAATTAAGTGAATGTCGTCCAGTGTAGTATTTTGAGTCCTTTAATCATTTTTAAATTATGTATCTTGAGTTATTTTCTTAGTATTTGCTCTAGACTTTGCAGTATACATTTTAACGTAGAAGAATCTATTTCTCAGTTTACTTACTTTCAGCAAAATATACTTTTCTCCTGTATAGTTCCATTTTTCTCTCTCCCCACTTTTTGTTATTATTACACATCTTATGTCTATATATTATAGAAACCCAACAATATATTGTTATAATTTTTACTTTATATAATCTCATGCCTTTTATTTTTTTATTAATTAATTAATTAACTCATTTGAGAGAGTGAGAACACATGTACAAGTGAGGGGAGAGGCAGAGGGAGAGGGACAAGCAGACTCTCTGCTGAGCGTAGAGACTGATCTGGGGCTCAGTCCCAGGATCCTGAGATTATGACCTCAGCTGAAGGCAAACTAAACAGATGGAGCCACCTAGGTGCCACTAATCATATGTCTTTTCGATTGTATGCTGAGAGAAGAAAAGAGAGCAAATACATATTTATAGAATTAATTATATTAGCCTTTCTATTTTTCATTCTTTTCTTGTATTCCTTTGGATTTGAGTTCCCATCTGGTGTTATTTCCTTACTCTAGTACAGCTTTCCTCTTACCTGCTTTCTATATGTTGTTATAGCAAATATATAAAATTTTTGGATGTTATTAGTCCAACAGTACATTTGTATGCATATTGTTTTATTGAATTATTCTCTAAATCAGTTATGAAAAGAAAGGGGAATTAACTGAGTTTTCACACAATTAGAAAGCTGGCATAATTTTTAAGTGTGAATTTCTTTTGTTAACAGAGCCAAGAAAGTAACGGCTATCTGGGACACCTGGGTGTCTCAGTGGTTGAACATCTGCCTTTGGCTCAGGGTGTGATCCCAGAGTTCCAGGATCGAATCCCACATCAGACTCTCTGAATGGAATCTCCTTCTCCCTCTGCTTGTGTCTGCCTCTCTCTCTCTCTCTGTCTCTCGTGAATAAATAAAAACAAAATCTTTTTAAAAAAAAAAAGAAGAAAAAGTAACAGCTATCACTTAACTTTGTGTAAACAAAGTAAATTGTAATTAAGATTGAGAGAGATAAGTTTAAAGAACAATCATTTGATCTAAATGAAAAGTCATGCTTTATAGAGTAATATGTAAAACCTCTCCATCTGCTTTTCTTAAATTGGTCTTAGAGCTAGTCATAAGCAGGGGCAGCGACATTGAATATTTCTTCGACTTCCACCCAAGACTGAAGGAGTTAGTTGTCTCTAACTATTCCTGTCTGAGCGCACTTTTTTTCCTGTGAGTGGCTTGGGTGTTGTCTTTGAGAATAAAGTATCAGTTACAGCCCATCCAAAAGGGTTACTGGTCAAAGTCTTTCAGACTTAACTACATGTTAAATTGGTAGCTGGGTTCTCTGCACATGCATCTCATAGTGCTTGACAAGATAATGGCAAAACCTAAAAGTGAAAATCCAGAATTATTACACTGCTACCGTTAAAAAAATAGCACTGAATAAGAAAAATCTAAAAGAAATAATAAATTGAGTGGACACTGTGACAATAGGCATAAATTGGGACTGTCTCAGACAAACTGACACACAAAGACACTTTACCAGAGATGTATTTTTTCAAAAACCTTCTAACTCCAAACTCTGGATTACTGTTGTCCCATCAAAAGACTATGCCCTCAATATGATTCACTTGTTTGTGACTGTTTAGTAATTTCTACAGCATTACGTACGTGGAAAGAATGTGAAGCATTCTTCCTAGTTAGTTTCATTCATTTGGCATTTCTTTTTTGTGGAACATTTTCTATTCATCTTAAAACTTTTATTAAATTTTGTATGCCTTCATTTTTAAACTAAAGACATGTAATAAGTTTCCTGAATTATTCTTCCTTAAATTAGTTCTTTTGTTACCTTAATAAAAATATGTAGTAATTAAAAATGAAGTTTAGGAATGAAAGGAAGGCAGTATCTACATATGTTTGATAAAAATGGATTATTTGAATATGATTATAATAATACTTTACATTCTATTACAGGGTTAGTTAAAAGGATTTACTGTATGTCTTAGGACTATTTACTGGAGCTTTGAGAGATAGGTAAGTGACAAGCATTTTTTGAAGAGATATTTCTGAGACATTGAATAATTTGATCTCATAGATTCCTAACAAAGTTCCTGACAAAGTGACTTACATCTTTTTCTCTTTAGATAAACATTAGTAGAAATACCATGTTTACATGAATCTTAATGTTTCTCTAATATCTGATAAGTCATATTTTCCAGGCAGCTGAGTGTTATTCTCTTTCATATTTATCATGAAGACATCTAATAAGACACACAAGTTTGGCATGTTCCAGAACTGAAAGCACTAAAAAGAAAAAAAAATCAATACATGCAATGTGGTACTTGGATTAGACCTTACAACTGAAAAAAGGTGTTAGTGAAAAATCCAAATAAGCCTGCAGCTTAATTAATGGCAGTATATCAGCATTAATTCCTTAGTCTTGACAAAACCATGATGATGTGAGATGTAACTTCAGGGGAAATTGAGTGAGAGGTATAAAGGAATTCCATAGTATCCTTGCAAACTTTTCTGTAAATCTAAAATTATTCCCAAATAAAAATTCAGTTAAAGCAGAAAAAAAATCCAGCTTTATTTATTTGAAAATTGTAGTTTTGCAGTAGCTTTTCTCTGTAATAATTTGAAAAATTAGAATTATCACTTACCTTTAAAAAATTCAGACCATGAATAGAGGTACGAGGAAATAATGTGACTATAGGTTTCATTTCATAGGAGGCGTGGGATTTTGGGTTTTGGGTATTGGCTTGGTGTTTGTGACTGTCTGCTTATGCCTGGTTACATACTTGCTTTTTGATTCTTTTAAGGTGCATCTATGCCCTTTGGTAGTTTAGTGCAGTACTTTATATTAACATAAGCAGGTTCTAGGTGTACTGCCTTTTTTTCCTTTTTCTTCTCTTTAATGTACTGTTGGAGGCAAAAAAGCGCAGAGATGGGCCTTCATTGTGGGGTTCAGACGCTCTCAATGCAGTGTTGTTCATTTAGACCTATGTGAGATACTAGGTCAAGTACAAGACACAGTTGACCTATTGTTAAGGAGTATGAATAAAGATGAATGTAACTTTTAAATAACCATTTCTGTAATTGAGCTAAAATAATTGATTGCTGTCAGAGAATAGAAACTCTCAGTTTCAAAAATGAACTCTAGCAGTATAACTCTTAAATTTCTATAAATATTAAAAGACTACCAGAATGGAACTCTGTAGTTTGCTGAAACTATTATATAACTTTTCATTAATAAAAGTAAAATAGCCATGCTGGTCTCATAAATGGTTTCCTGCTTCTGTTGCCAACTTTAATGATTTTAGTTAAACTTAAATTTCATAAAGGGAAATAGAAATATATTATACTTAAAGGATATAGACATGTAAAACAACAACAGGCCTGAGTGACTGTTGCAGAATAATTACTAGGCTTAGAGGTTTCTGTTTTGCTTGATGGTATTTATTCAGAATTGGTGTTAATCAATGTCATGTTAATAAAATTGACATCTTTATCTCTTAGTTGTGTAATATAATTTTGCTAAATCTTGGTAGGGAAGTTCAGAAAAATGGAAGAGAGCCTTTTCAGGACAAGTTTATATTCTATTGATAACATAATAGTTCGTACATTAAAAAAAATCTTCTTATATTATTCTTTTTGCTAGGAGAGCACTAAAAATGTTTTTCAGAGACATATTTTATCATTCAGCTGACTGTCTTTTTGTGGTTCTCTAAAGTATAAATGAGAGTAGTTAATATGTATTGAGCACTGTCTATGTACCAGGCACTTTACTTGGAGTGATCCCATTTAACCTTCACAAATACAAAAATAGTTTGGAATTCCCTTTATAGATGGGGTGGGAAAGTAACAGATGTCTCCAGGCCAACACTGAGGCTTTGATGCAGAAAGAACAGGTACCCACGGTATGCAGTACCTACTGTTTGGTTCATAATGTTACCAGCTTCCAGGAAGTCCTTAATCCATGGATATGTGGTAAACTTCAGAGTACTTTAACTCTTCTGGGGAAAAGGATGTCTGACTACACTGGGTGACCTAGACCAGATTTCCCTGGGGTGACTAGCCTGGAGTATAATCTCTTGTTCTGTGTTCCAGCCTTGATCTGGCTCATTGTACAGTTCCCTAACATGTCAGTGGTTCTCTGTCACCTGATTAACTGCTGAACACTCACTCATTGTGTGCTTCATTGATCATAAGCCAAGAACTCTTGGCAGCTCTGGGGAACATGATCTCAGCGTGTCTCCTGGTCAGTGTTGGGCAACTAGAAGTTGTTAGTTGGGGTGAAAATTTGGATTCAGAAGCCAAGACACATGCCAGAGGCCAGAGATCTGGTAATTGAGCAGCTGACACGTGAAATTCAGCTATCCAGACTCAGTAAATAGGATAAGAGTCAGAAATAGAGTAGGCACATGACTTTGAAAGGTGGTTTTTAAAGATTATGATGGGTGGCTATGTACTTTGTGGATAAACACTTGAACAGTGTGGGCTTTAGGGGTCCTGCCCACCTCACAGTCAAATCCACATATAACTTTTGACTCCACTAAAACTTAACTACGAATAGCCTATGGTTGACAGGAGGACTTGCTAATAATGTAAATAGTCAATTAACACATATTTTGTACATTATATGTATTATATACTATATTCTTAAAATAAGTTGGAGAAAAGAAAGTGTTATTAAGAAAATTGTAGGGAAAATACATTTATAATGCAGTACTATACCCAAACAATGATAACAATAACAAAACAATCACACAGTTTATTTTCAAGGGTTAATTGTAATTCCAGTTGTTTTTTTTTTTAAGAAGAAGAATAAGAGTTATTAACTTAGTCATCATAGTGCACATTATACTGTGCAAAAATCTATCTCTCTCTAACTTCTCCCCATCAATTCTAACTATATCTTTCTGTAGCTCTAAATCTTTAGTTCCTCTTACACTTGAAAGCATAAAATGCACATAAAATTATGAAGTCTTCTTTTCTATCTTCTGTTCCTCCTGATCTCTAAAAGTTGGTATTCTCCAGGACTTAGTCTTTGGCAACCTTCTACATTTATCCCTATATGGACTCATCTGACCTCTTGTTTTAAATGTCTCTGTTCTCCCAGGTTTATTCTTTAACCTGTGATCTTTCCTGTGAACCTCAGGGTCATATCTATGGCTGCCTATTCAACATCTATTTGAGAGTCTTAATAAACATTTCAAACTTAAAATGTTTGAAACAGAACTCTAGAACTCTCTTCCCCAAATTTGTTTCTTCCCTCTTTCTTCATCTCACTAAGTGGTCCACATAGTTGCTTAGGCCGAAAACTAGAGGCCATCTTGAGTTTTCTCTTTCCTTCTTAACCAAATTCCAGTCCAATCAGTTAGGTTATATACCCTCCTTTCAACATGTATCCCAAATACTCCTGTATTACCACCCCTCTACTTCTTCCTAATATAATACAACCTGTCATCATCATCATAAGTTACCTAGGTGATAGCAGCAGCCTTGTAACTGGCTCTCCTTATTTCCTCCTTGCACCTCTCCAGTCAGTTCTCCATATGGGGTCAAAAGTGTTTTTTTGTTTTTTTGTTTTTTTGTTTTTTTTTTAACGTTAAACAGTTCCTGTCATTTTCCTTTCCAGAACCCTTGAGTGTCTACCCCTCACACTCAGGATAAAACACTGTCTCACCATGTTCTACCAGCCCCTGCAGACTTTATCTTCTATCATTCTCTGTCTTGCTCACTCTGCTCTAGCCACAGTGGCCTTTTTTGCAATTCCTTAAATTCTCTAAGTCCATTGGAATCAACTAGATCCTTCTTGCTCCCTATTGTACACCCTCATTCCAACCTGTTCAGCTTCCAGCCTGATATTCATGGAGGTAGATTTAGAACAAAGGTACATATCTAAGGCTCTTTAGTGTATGTAGTAAGTGAAGTTACACTAGAAATTTTGCAGCTCTATTATTCTAAGTTTCTGTAATTTGCATTTTTCTTTCTTTCTTTCTTTCTTTCTTTCTTTCTTTCTTTCTTTCTTTCTTTCTTTGTGAGAGAGAGAGTAGATTTGGGGGGAGAGCACAGGGGAGGGAGAAAAATGGGGAAAGACTCTCAAGTGGACTCTGCAGAAGCCAGATACAGGGCTTGATGTCACAACACTGAGATCATGGCCTGAGCCAAAACCAAGAGTTGAATGCTTAACTGACTGAGCCACCCAAGCACCCATCCTGCATTGCTTTCAAGTGGAAGAGGAACTGGAGATTTAGAACTGTAGAAAGACATAGCTAGACTCAGTGGGAGAAGCAACAGAGAGAATTTCTGCTTAGTATAATGAGCACTATAATGAATAAGTTGGCAGCAATTACATCTACATGCAAATAAACTGGCCTCCTTTACTGGACCATGAGTTCTCCAGCCCTAGCAGAGAATGATTGAGGCTGATCAGGTGAGGCCCCAAAGATTTGTGGAGGGAAAATATGCTGGAGTAGAGGATGAGAGAACTGATATTTGCATCTTCCTAACTCAGATTACATAAGTTTAAAAAAATTTTTTTTTCCTGTAGCACTCATTCTCAGAGTCTTCCTCAGATATATTCTCCTGTATTTGTATTGGAAACTTTTACCAATAAAGGGTAAGCACTTCTCGGTGAAGTTTCCAATAGTTGAAGACAAAGAAGAGCTACTTTCCAGGTTGACTCCAGTCGGATTGGCCAGGTCCTCATTTAAGGAAATTACTTTGAGGCATTTCTCTTTCTTCCATTTTTTTAAATTTAAAATTTATTTGATTATTGTTTGCTCTAAAATAAATAACACATATATGCACAAATTCCCTGATGAATTTCAGTTATTAAACAAAAGTTTACTGAGTCGCAGAAGTAAAGAGAATAAATAATATGTAGTAATAGCCTGTTTTGTTTTGTTTCGTTTTGTTTTTTGGAAATAGCCTTTGATCAGAGTTTACTAGAAATGGAAATTTTACCCCATAATTTCTCTTAGAAGCCCTTTGAGAATTAATGATCATGTTTGAATGTTTCCTTGAGG